TAAAGTTTAAGGATGGTTTGGGTCCCTTCTGAAGTTAAAGGATGAACTAAGTTTCGAAATGAAAGTTTAGGGACCAAATTGGGTATTAAACCTTAATTAATTGCTTCACAAAGCATTCTTCATTTTAAAGTCGATTTGATGATTTGCCCAGACAACTGGGTTCAGTTCGAGTTTCTAATGAAACCCAGTTTAGTTGAGCTGGCAGCAGCAGAACGATGACGCAGAAGCACAGAGTTCTCGCCGTCGTCGGAAAAATGGTGAAGAGCCCACCTTCGAAAGCTCTCTCCGTATTTAATTCTTCGACTCTTCAAGGCCTGCAACACACTCCGGAATCGATTTCGTTTGTTCTCCATCTTCTCCTTTCCTACGACATGATCTCGCACGCTCAATCTCTTCTTCTCCGGATTCTCTCCGGCCGGATCTCTTCTGCTTTCTTCACCCCATTTTCTCTATTCGACCAAATAACCCAGCCCAATTTGGACTCGAATATGAGGACTAAGGTCCTTCTCTATGAAACCATTATCAATGCCCATGTTCAATCCCAATTGCCGGAACAAGCCATTGGTTATTTCAATCGGATGGTTGATGGAGGTGTTCTCCCTGGATCCAAGACTCTAAATAATCTCTTGAGCTTCCTCGTTAAATCAGGTTGTTTGGAGAAAGCTTGGATGGTTTTCAAGAAGGGCAAGGTGAAATTGGATGTGTATAGTTTTGGGATTATGATCAAAGGATGCTGTGATACCAGCGACTTGAGGAGAGGTCTCGAGTTGCTGACACAATTGGAGGACATGGGTTTCTCTCCTAATGTTGTGATTTTCACTACTTTGATTGATGGGTGTTGTAAAGATGGGGATATTGATCAGGCAAAAACGTTGTTTTCCGAGATGGAGGAGCTCGGACTGATTCCTAATGAGTATACGTACACTGTTCTGATCAATGGGTTGTTTAAGAAAGGACTGAAAAAAGATGGGTTTGATCTATATGAGAAGATGCAGAAGCAGGGTGTGTTTCCTAACTTGTATACTTACAATTGTATGATGAACGAGTACTGCAACGAGGGAGAGATTGGTAAAGCATTTGAAGTGTTTGATGAAATGCGTGAGAGAGGAGTTGCTTGTAATGTTGTTACCTACAATACTTTGATTAGTGGATTGTGTGGCCAGACCAGGATGTGGGAGGCTGAGCGGCTAGTGGATCAAATGAAGGCAGCTAGTATAACTCCAAATTTGATCACGTATAACACACTAATACATGGTTTTTGTAATGCTGGGAAGTTGGGAAAGGCTATGAGTTTGTTCAACCAGTTGAAGTTTACGGGCCAATCTCCATCTCAGGTGACTTACAACACTCTAATTGCAGGTGCTGCTCGAGCTAAAGATTCAACCAGAGTTGCTTATTTGGTAAAGGAAATGGAGGACAGAGGAATATGGTCTTCCAAAGTGACATATACTATTGTCATTGATGCTTTTGTTAGACTAGATAACATGGAAAAAGCATTTGAGATATATTCATTCATGAAGAATTCAGGTTTGGTTCCAGATGAATACACCTATGGTGTCTTGATTAATGGGTTGTGCATCAAGGGTCAAATGAAGGAAGCATCAAAATTGTTCAAGTCAATGAAGGAGATGTCCTTGAAGCCAAATGATGTGATATACAACACAATGATTCATGGCTACTGCAAAGAGGGGAGCTCTTATAGAGCACTGAGGCTGCTTAGAGAAATGGCTGAGGAAGGACTTGTTCCTAATGTTGCTAGCTATAGGTCTACCATCGGAGTCCTTTGCAAGGATGGCAAGTGGGAAGAGGCAGAGGTTTTGTTGGATGAGATGATCAAGTCAGGGTTCAAACCACCATTCTCTGGTTACAATATGATCTCTAAAGCCAAAGATCCCACATAGCTGAAGCATTAGAATACTGTTAGTTGACAAGCAGATTTGCTCTTGTCATGTTAATCAAGATTGGATTTTAAAGGAGCAAGATCAATTATTTTAAATTTAAATGAGGTAAGTTATGTTAGGTTCACATAATGTTCTTTCCTATTTGTTGGCTTTGAGTACTTGTTTTGTTATTGTTATGCTTAATGCCCACTTTGTCTTCTTTGTTTGCTTGTTTACTTAGTTTGTTGGAGATAAAGTTGCATATGAACTTTCCCTGTTTTCCAAGGCTTGAAAGTGATTGCTTGCATTGGATAGACTCTTGAACAGCAAGAACCTGGCTCTACCATGTCAGTAGTTGCTACACAAACCAAAGCAATTGCTAGCTGGTACTAAAAGCAACTTTTGTTTTCTAGATGTCTGGTACTCTAGGCCCTGAATTATGGTTGTAGTTGGTTCTATAGGTGTGGCCTTAAGGGACATTTATTTAGCCACATGGGTTAGCTCATTTTAAAGTTTGCATTGGTTGTTTTCATGTTCTTTTCTGTTGTATAAGATTATACTAAAATCAACCATTATTTGTCTTTTGTAGATAAAGTCTCAAACTGGGCTAATGTTGTTTTGGCTTATGAACCTGTTTGGGCCATTGGTACTCGAAAAGTTGAAACCCCTGCCATGCTCAAGATGTACTCTTCTTAATAGATATTCTTTGTTTGCATCATTCCATATAGATGGTCAAATTACCTAGCTTTTCTGATAATGATTTATATGTAGTGATAGACAAAAGACGGTATGGGTGTAAGTTACTGAGGTCTGAGACTATTCGGTTCATGCCCCATCGATATTGCTATAAAAGAAAAAAGTCAGAAGAGCAGGTTTTCATGCGTTGCCAATTAATGGTGATTTTCAACTATGTTGTTTAAGAATGCATTGTTTGACATGTACTGCAAAAACGATATTCATCGTTTGAAAGGCTCCTAATAGTCCTTCTGGACAAAAACTTGTGGAAACAACAAATGCACACTTTCCTGATAATAATTTGATGATGAACCTAAACCACAGGCAGTACATCCAGTTCTTATATCCAATGTCGATGTCTCAACTTTCTTTCTTCTTCTTCTCTTTTTTTTTTATGTCTTGTAGTTATAATAATAAGGTCTTTTCTTTTAACAACTGTTGGATTGTTCCAGCTGCATTTTGAATACGGAGAAAATGACTTCATGACAATGGCTGTTGCTGAGTTGCTGCATCAACAAGAATCATCCATAGAGGTATTATATTTCCCTTACAGGCATCATATCCTTGTATAATATCCCATTAGATAATTATAATTGCCTGATTACACTTTAAATCTGTCTTTGCATCTATTTCCTATTACTATAGGTTCTGTAAATGGAGCAAACTGCAAAGAATTATTGGCTGCACAAGCAGATGAGGATGGCTTTTTGGTGGTTGGAGCTTCCCTAAAGGTTAGTCATTTTTCTGAACTTCTCATTTCAGCTTCATATACACAATTCTCACTCAATTATTTAACAGCAGAGTATTCATTTTTTCTCCATTGGCTGGAGTCAATTCATTGACATTATCGAGGCAGCCATGAAGAAGAAGAGTGATTAAAGTTGAGAGCCAAGAACCAAAGCATCAACCTTAACTCCTAATGAGGAACTTAATCATATTTTGTGGTGGTGGTCTTTTCTACGAACCAGATAACTGTTTTCTGAGTGTAATACTCCCTCAATTATGAAATAATTGTCTTTTTTTAAGTTTGAGTTTGTTTTAAATTAATT